TAGGCTGAGCAGTCTACCATGTCTTTCACTGAAGGATGAGTTTTCCGGAATTCTTGAGGTGAGCTCCTTGAGTTGAGGAGAGATTCTCACAAGGTTGACTTGAATGGTATTTCTGCGAGGAATTTCCATGACCTACAAAACAAAACAAAGATGAAGGTCCAAACCCTTGAAATGGTTAGTGAATGCATATGACGTTTCATGATGTTTATGATGTATGCACAAAACATATGTACAAGCAAATCACACCAAACCCTAGTTTCCGGCTTGCATGGGGTTTCATAGGTAAGTACCCTCTTGAGTGTAGTTGGCTTAAAAACCTGTCCTATAAATAGTAACCGGGTTCTAAGGAGCTCAATATCACTGGATTGTTTTCATTGTTCATGGTTTTGGTTCAGCCACTTAACTAGCGACCAAAATATTCCAAGAAAACAAACCTCAATGAGTGTAGTATCGAGTATCTACCAACTTCGGACTGCACCAAAGCCGGTCATCTCACTACCCCTAATAAAAGGCCAAGATGGTCAAGTAAGGTTCTAGGTCATTAGTGCTTAGTGACATCACTCAGCGGCCCCGTACTCTCCTTGATTGAACTCAAGGGTTACCGGTACTCACAAATATGTCGCACTAACATAGCTATTGCTTAGACCGTGTCGGTATACCCCGCACAGTTTCCACAACGTATTGCTATCTATGAATGTTTCCCAAAATCCGGGTGTAGGATTGCAAACCCAAACAATAGCCAAAGTATAAAGCAAACAATTCAAACAATTTGTCATGCAAAGGGGGTGATCTAAGCCCTAAGGTTACTCCACTTTTAAAAAGTCTCCAGCAGAGTCGCCAGTTCTGTGATACGGTGGGAGAACTGACTATGGTTTTGCGTTTGTTTTCGCAAATGTTTTGGTTGAGCAAGAGTCGCCACCGACTTTTTATTTTATCCTAAGGAAAGGTTTAAAAAGCACAACAAAAAAACCTTTGAGATTTTTCTTGGGTTCGGGGAGTAGATTATAGAAAGGGAAGGTATTAGCACCCTTTCTATCCATGGTTATCCATGGGCTCTTAATTACTTGCTTAGATCACTTGCCTTTTGTTTTCAATTGTTTTAAATGGTGCTTGTGTGTGTGGGTTTGAAATTTTTTTGAAAAGAAGCCAATGTGGTGGCAACCTTTGTAATGATCCATGTGGGGATGTATACAAAGATGTATGTCTTTTGAAAAGGTTTTCATTTGTTTTTTGAAAGTTGTTTTGAAAGTGTTGTGAGGTGTGTTTTAGAAAATAGGCAAGTGTTTTGTTTTTGCAAGTTTGATTCAAGTAACTAAGAGGTTTATCTACTCCTAAATTTCTCAAAGATTATTGCTATGTTTTAACCCTTTTAATAAGTTTGTTCCACCATTGTATTTGGTGGGCAATATCATGTTAGGATGTGAAAGGGACAGGCGCGGGTCATCGTTTGGACCATAATTGCAATGGTGCCAAGTATCTTTAAGCATTTTCTTTAAGGGACTTGATCATTTGTTTGGCAATATTTTGAAAAGTGTTATCGAGGGACTATGATCATTCAATTTGTTTGTTTTGCCCAAAGAGACCTAACATGCAATATGGCCCAATTTTGAAAGGCAACAAGTGGAATACCCTAGGGGGTGCAAGTGTGATTTGTGTGTCCATTTTCATGCTTGTTTGTCTTGAGATTAGGTCATAACTATTTTGTTCATTTTATTCGCATATAAACCCTAATTCTAGCATTGTATATTTAGAAAGCGATAAAGTGCGAAATTTAAACTCCTACGCTATTACAACACAATAATATAGGGAGGGGGGTACAATGTTTCAAATGGGGATTTTGACAAGGAATTTAAACCTAAAACTATTACATCAAGATTTGAATTATTTACAAGATAATTTAATTGCATAAATAAAATAGAAATAAAACAAATATGCAAGAATGCAAAAAAAGGGTTTTTTTATATGTATGAAAAAAAGTATTATTTATGTAAAATAAAAAGAAAATAAAAAGATATTATTTTTTGGAGTATTTTTAAATTTAGGGCAAAACCCTAATTTTTATTAAATGAAATGTATTATTATTTAATTTAATACAAGTATTTATTTATTATATACAAAATAAAATAAAGTGAAGTATTTGTCAAAAATGATTTTTTAGTGTTTAATATTAATAAAATAAAATATGTACATTTTTAGTATTTTATTCTAAGTATATTAATAAATATATATATTTATATATTAAGTTCTAAATATGTATTATATACAAAAAATAATAATATTTAATATTTAATAAAAAAAGTAATTTTTCTATAAAATATTTTCAGAAAGTAAAACAAAAATAAAAATGTATAGAAATGCATTTGTACTATTTTTAGTATTTTTAAACAAAATATATATATTTATCTATTTATGTATAAACAAAAAGAAAATTAAATAAATGCCTAATAAAATCAAAAATGGTGAGAAAAAATATTTTTATATTTTTAATGTCATGAGAAAAAATAAACAAGTCAATCAAAAAAAGAAAAAGTCAAAAAGTCAAAGAAATAAACAAAATGGGCTCAGGGGGTTCAGAAGCAATTATGTGGTGCAAATAAGAAAAATATTCCAGGCCCAGCCCAGAACCAGTCATCTTCAACCTCTGAACAACATCACTCACGCGTTTTCTATCTCTTGATTCCTGGACTTTCAAGCAAAACTCATAACATGAAAAGTGTAGAGCATGAGAAGACGAATTCAACCATGTAAAGAACTTGACTTAACTCTCTAAGATGAGGGAGAATTTCTTCTCCCCCAATTTCTGACCTAACTTTTATGCCATGTTCAGACTCAAAATTCTTGCAGTACACATAATATAAATGAAATCTAACTATATGGGCGTGTTCAGGGCTATGATTGTGACATATTTTCTTCACAAACCTAAAGCTAACAATGCCTAATAAGAGAGATAGAACTTCATGAAGATACCTGTTCAGTTGGAATCGTGCTTTGCAATGGAGGAGTTTTCAGAGCAAGATGATGATTTGTATAGCTTCCTTGAAGTGTAAGGATGCTATTCCAAGTTCTACTTTGTCTTGAAATTCCCTGAATCGTGCTAGAGAACTTCAACTGCAAAACAGAAAAATAAAAATGGTGAAGTGGCTTGGAGATGTTACAGATCGTGTTTTAGCTTTTGGATAGCTTGCATAGATGGTAAGGAAGGTATGTGAACTGGTTTGGGCAAGAAAGCTTGAGAGAAATGAAAGATAGCACTCAAACTGCAGGCCTTGCCCTGTTTTTGCAGTTTGAGAGTAATTATGGCAAGGGGAGTGTTTGAGAGGTGTTAGGGTCATGCAAAAGCTTGGTTCTGATCTTTGGAATGTGTTTGATAACTTTGTCTAAGTGTCCCTAAGCTGATATGAGAGTTGTGTGATGTTATGACACTTTTCTTCTTTCTTAAGCAACAAAAGCCAACTTGTGTTTCTAGGCATGTAGAGGACTCCCTAATGTGCTTCATAATCCCTCCTTGATCAGTGTGTTATGCTCATAATCTTGTGCCAATCATATTTGCAATGTACTTGTTGGATTTTCAATTTGACATAAAGCTACCTTTTACAAAAATGGCTAATTTGCTTTATCTACTTTGGGATTAAACCTTTAGACAATGCTTGAACTCAAAGAACATGGTCTTGGCACAAAGAATATGCATTAAATTTATGAGTGTTGGATGGTTTAAGGACCTGTAATCTAGCTTAAGGCATGCTGAGTTCAAATTGCAAGGTTATGGACATGTAACTTGGTCATGAACAAAGTGAGTTTTTGTCATATTGTGAAATTCGATTCTCCCTAACCATGAGGTTGTTTGATGAGTTCTTGGACATTTTGGAAATCTTGGAATGTGTACTACAATCCATCTTTGAAATGCAAATTGAAATTCTAAGTGGAAGTGTATGGAAAATGGTCTTGAAGTTAAGTAAAAACTTGTCCAAAATAGGTCAAATTTTCACTAAGTTAAGAATGGTTTAGTGCCCTTATTCAAAAATTTGTAACTTGAGATACAAGCTTCAAATGGGAAAACTTTGTGAATCAAAGTTGTAGATTATGCAACAATCTACAACTTTCATGTTTTGACTTTTGTTTGAATCCAAATGAATCTTGGTGAAAAAGTGGGGCAAAGTTGGGGTAAAATTAGGGTTTTCCATAACTTAGAAAAATTCTAAGTTATGAAAAATTCCATTTCAAACCCTAATTTGCATTTCTTGGTTTCTTGGTGAACAAGTTTCATGATTTGGCATGTTTTGATGAAAAATGAATCTTGACTCTTGATTTTGACCAAAAAGTCAAAGTTTGACTTTTCAGTATACAGTCAAAATTGATCAATTGACTGGGAAATTCAACTGTCAATCTTGTGTACTTGGGATCTTTTGAGCTTGTTGAGAATGTCAAGACAATTCCATGGGGTCATTGAGTCCATATGTGAGCTTGGTTTGACATTGGCTAGGTCAAACAATCAAAAATTGCCTTTGTGCAGTCAAAACCCTAAAAATGACCATTTTGCCCTTTTGATGATCTGATCAAATTTCTTGTGGAACTGTGATCCAAACTTGATCAAATGGTCCATATGAGTTCATAATGTTGATGTGGGTCAATTTTCATGAGATTTGACTGTCAATTGGCCACAGTTGACTTTTTCCCCAATACAGCTGATTTATAGGTCAACTGTCCAATTGACTGGGTAAAACTTGGAATCAGGACTTGAAACTTGGTATGGGTAAACTTGGGAGTCTAACATGAAGCATGAAAGTCATCTTAGGCATTTTAGGTCAAAATATCTTTGTGCAAACACAAACCCTAATTTGGGTCAACAGTGCAAGGAGAAATCTTGAGCAGAGGAAACCCTAATTGGATCTTGAGCTCCAAGGGCCTTGTGATGAGAAAATGTTGAGAAAATGGGAGGGAAAATTTTGGGGTACAACAATATCCTTGGTAACTAATATCTTTAAGTGCTTTCCTAAATACACCTAAAAAGGAGGGATCATTCTCATCAATTCTTGAGCAACTCTCCATGTGTATTTCATCTTTTGTATCTCTCCCCATGTTAAACTCTCTTCACTTCCATTCCTTTGGTTTAAAATTTCCATTTGTTCTGCATAAAATAATTCACCAAAACTGTAAAACCCCATAGAATATTGCATACAAATAGTATAACCTAAAAAACTAAACTAATCTTACCTTCTAAAACTTTGTTATAAACCTCCTGATCTCTTGATAACTTCCATATCATCAATGTCATAAGAGTAGCAGATGTGTCATGACTTGCAACAAATAAAAAAATAAAATTGTCGATAATGATGCCATCGTGTAGAGGCTTATCATTTTCATCTCTTATTGCAAGAAGGCATGAAAGCATATCATTCGAAGAACTTAGAACTCCTTTTGATAATTCTTCCCTTCTTTTGTTCATAATAGGAAGTATCTTTTCCATAATTCTTGCTCTAGCTTTTTAGCCTCTCCAAAATAAGGTGCCATGGAGATTTAATGGAAGAGAGTGAATTGCTTTGAATGTTGTGATGAAATCATTAAATAGAATATTCCTTGTGTGTTGATCTATATCAAATAAGATATTGGATGCCATATCATAGGGCATTTTTGTTATCAACCTCACAACTTCTATTGTTTTATTCTCTTTCAATTCTTTTAGTGGTGTTGTGTGCACTAATTCATCCATCTTTTTCACATAGTTCTGAAGACATTCAGGTTTCAAGAATTTCAGCATTTCACCTTTGACCAACTTGTGCCTGCATGAAAAATAAACAAAAAGCTCAAATCAAATGGCTTCATTATTCTTTCCATCATCAACACTTACGGTCTTTGATAGGAGGTCCAATTAGATATTTTAATTAGTAATGTAATGTTAGTTGTTATTTTATTTTGAATGTTTGGTTGAATCGGGATTTTAGTAGTATTTGGGCCTTTGAGTTTAATATTATTAGAAGTATTATATATTGTAGTCTCATTGAGACATTGGGTATCAATCAATCAAATGAAAAAGTTTTTTATCTTCCTTTATTTTATTTAGTCATTTTAGTGTTTTTTCCTTTTATTATGGAAAACCCTAATTTCATAGCTTTGATAGGAAACTTCCTATCAATTTGTGCTTTCATTCATGTACTCAAATTATCCTATGGATTACCCTTCTCATACACCTTCATGTCATCCATAGACCATTCCTTCTACCTATCCCACAAACCCCCCTTTTACATCTCCAATCACTTTCTCATTTCCATTTTTCCATGGGAAATTTTCTCATCTTATTCCATAAATACACATGTTACCAACCCATATTTTTATTTTAATCATGGGTATACACCACCTCCATCTAACCCATATTCATCCCATTCATCATCTCATTATTCATACTACTGCACTAATTATCATCAACCACTACAACCAACAAAAACTTCCTCCACAATTAAAAGAGATTTTAAGAAGCATTTGCAAGTGTCTCATCTCTTTTTTAAGAAAAGATTAAAAAAACTCTCAAAAAACCATTAGATTCAATGACCCACTTCAAACCCTTTATCATCCTTGTTTCAAGAAAGCAAAAAAAAATCACAAAAATCTACCTTATTAGAAAGCACCCCTTTCAAGCTTATAGGCACTAACTTTATCAATCAAAACTCAAAAACCCTAATTCGAGCCTCATTTATGGTACAAAATCCAACCACCTGAATGGTCGCTGCAACTCCTCCCCTTGTCATTGTCCATTCCCTCAAAGGCGATGTTTCCACTGATTCCGCTCTGGCATAGTCAACGCCGTCCACTCGAACATCAGCAAAAATGTTCGTCAACCCCATGCCGTTAACCACAAACCTGGTCACCAAACCTCTGCTGAGTCATGGGGAACTGGTCGTGGTGTGTCTCGTATTCCCCGTGTTGCTGGTGGTGGTACTCAGCATGCAGGTCAAGCTGCTTTTGGAAACATGTGTCATGGTGGTCGCATGTTCTCTCCCACCAGGATCTGGCATAAATGGCATTGAAAGATTAACGTTAACCATAAATTTTATTCTATGGTCTCATCCATTGCTGCTTCTGCCGTTCCTTCTCTTGTTCTTGCTCGTGGAAACCAGATCGAGCCAATCTCGGAGTTTCCTCTCGTTGCTGGTGATTCCGCTGAAGGAGTTGGGAAACCCAAGGAAGCGTTCAAGCTTCTGAAGCACATTGGAGCTTTCCCTGATGCCGAGAAAGTGAAGAACATCCATAAGATTTGTCTAGATAATGGAAAGACAAAAGTTGAAGAATATATTAATATAAATCAAGAAGTTGAGAAATTTACTAATGCAGAAGAAGATCCTAAGTCGGAGGTTCAAGCATAATCTATTAAGGTTGAGATAAAATATGAAGAGGTTTCGTTGATGCAAGATGAAGAGGTTATGTCGGTGCAAGATGAAGAGGTGTGTCGGTGCAAAATGAAGAGGACGAGGAGATGGATGTCAAAAGCCATTTGAATGTCATTTTTATTGGTCACGTGGATGCTGGTAAATCAACAGTAGGTGGTCAGATACGTTTCCTCAGTGGCCAAGTCGATGAAATGACTATCTAAAAATACGAGACAAAAGCCAAGGAAAAAGTAGAGAAAGCTGGTATATGGCTTACATAATGGATACGAATGATGGGGAGAGGGCCAAGTGAAATAAAGTTGAAGTTGGAAGAGCACACTTTGAGACAAAGACCTCAAGGTTTACGGTTTTGGATGCACCTGGTCATAAGAGTTATGTCCCTGACATGATCAGTGGTGCATCTCAAGCTGATATTGGAGTATTGGTAATCTTTACTCAAAAGGGAGAATTTGAAATTGGAAATGAAAAAAATGGTCAAACTCGTGAACATGTTCATCTAGCAAAAACATTAGGCGTGTCTAATATCCTTGTTGTTAATAAAATGGATGATCATATAGTGAGGTGGTCAAAAGAAAGGTATGATGATGTTGATTCTATTTTTCATAAGTTGCTTTCGACTTTGATCCCGATAAGGTAGGAATTTTCTTCTGCAAGAGAAAGATCAAGAAGTGCTCAAAATAAGCAAGCTGGTGGTGCTATTTTCATGGATGCTGATGCTACATCAACATTGTACAAGAGTAGCATTGCTCCGACAGATGACATTTTCAAATTTGTTTAGTTCAATGACCATGAAAGTGTAGTAAAAGAAATATATATTGGTCCTGAGTTTGTTAATTATGATGGTGATGTTGGTGTGATTCTTGAATCTACCAGCTTCTATGCTAAGCAAGGTGGTAAAATTTTCGATACTGGGTCACTTGATTTTTAACATGCTTCATATAAAGTTCATAATATTCAAGTTTACGGAGTTTACATGCTTCACATCGATAATGGGACTGGTATATCTCTGTTTGAGATAAAGTAGTATGCAAGGTTGATTATGAAAGAAGTTCGCTTATAGATCCTAACCATACATGCACACACATGTTAAATTTTTCTCTTAGGAAAGTACTTCATAATCATGTAGGACCAGCTTCAGCTTGGGCTAACGAGGATGATGAAAGAAAGGATAATAGGGACCACATGGTGAAAAGTTTTGGAAAAGAGAAAGAATTACTAAACTGGCTTAACTATAAGCCAAATTATTTTGTGTTGTATGTAATTTTTGGAAGCCTTTCTAGGATTTCTCAAGTACAGATTATTGAAATAGCTCATGGACTTGGTAACTTGAATGCAACTGTTATGATTGTTCAGCTTAAGCAATGGGATTCAGGAGTAATTTTAGAACCTTGAGGACAAGGTTCAATGTGAACCGGACGATAATGATAGGAGGTGTAATTAAATATTTTAATTAGTAATATAATGTTAGTTGTTATTTTATTTTGGATGTTTGGTTGAATTGGGATTTTAATCTTGTTTGGGCCTTTATGTTTATTATTGTTAGAAGTACTATATATTGTAGTCTCATTGAGACATTATGTATCAAACAATCAAATGAAAAAAAGTCTTTTATCTTTGTAAGTTCTCTAGTTTTAGGATTGGCATTAATTTTTGTAAAACAAATAAGACAACAATATGTTAGATATGAGATGTTAACTTGCTAACAAGAACAACTTGAGCAAGAAGTCTTATCTTATGTTGTGACATGTTGATATGAGAAATTCTCATCGTTTAGAACAACATGTCGTATAAGATGTCTTATGAAGGAGCATACGACGTCCCGCCTAAGCTGAAGTGGACAGTTAGATTCTGTTATGATTTAACTGATGTAGAATATTTTGGGAATATCATGCAATCCTGTGTGGCGTTGAATAAAAGGTCAAGAAGAATCATGTCAGAATATTGAAGATTATGCTGTTTCTAAATATGAATCTTATTTAGGAAATAAATGATTGAAGACCTTGTTTGTAGAAGAATTTTCTGGTGGTTTGTAACAGCTGATGGATTGTGATTGAAGGCTCAAATCCAGTTGGGATATAGGTTATAAATAGTAGTCTTTGTAAACTAAGAAAGGTAACAACCAAGTATTGAAAATAATCATTAGGACCGAGTTTGTCTCCACTCTCTAGGAGAGTTGATGTAATTGAACCACTCGAGTTGGGAGATGGTCACTGTGTTCTTACTCAGAAGTTGTGAAGTAATGAGTTGAGTATGGTTCTTGGAGGAAGCTTGTAAGTAACTCCAAGTTGTGTTCTTAGTTAGGAGTAAAGTTGTAAACAATGGAGTTTATAGCTTTAGGTATTGACTAGGTATTGTCATGGAAGTGTATCTTCTTGTTTGTTCATAAATGTTGTTATCTAATCGATGTCTCTGATTGATGAGGGATTGAAGAGGGTCTTATATCTAGGTGAGTATTAGATATAAGTATAGCACATGTAGTGATTAAGTGAGTAGACTGTAAACGGGTATGTTTGTTGTAGTCTATGAATTGATACTATCATAGTGGACTTGTCCATGGCTTGGTATGGCCCTAGAGTAGGAGAGTTGCTCTGAACTGGGTTAACAATTTTGGTGTGTTTTTATGCTTTTTAGTACTATTTTCAATATTTATATCTTGCATGTGTTGTTATGTTCAGATTAGATGTCTCAACATCCTATAGGACATATGAGTTTTGTTATACCAGAATTCCAATCTTCCTTTATTTTATTTAGTCATTTTAGTGTTCTTCCCTTTTATTGTAGAAAACCTTAATTTCATAGCTTTGATAGGAAACTTCCTATCAGTCTTAATCTTTGTAGCACCAACACGTCTAAAAAAAGGTATATGTGTCTTTGTCTTTTTCTGAAACTGACATCAACACTTGTGTTTACGTGTAATTTATTTATTTAATTATTATTTATATAGACGTGCTGACGTCAATAATTGTCATATTTTGGGTGTCTATATTTCATAGTTCTTAATAAACTATTTGTTACATATAAGTATATAGAAAATAGGTATTAATCCCTATGGACAATATTTACTTAATATAAACAAATAGTAGAT